ATTCTAATAATTTTCTTTAATTTAACATGTTACATTATCATATACATCAAACCGGCTATTTTAAAACACTTGATAAAAATGAGATCAAGATTATTAGCATAAAATCAATGACCCAAAAATGATGAAATGAGTCGAGAAGTTACAAAATTCTGTTAACAATTAATTGAACATAAATCAGCAAGCCTGACAAAATCAGTGTATAAGGGATCGTGTAAACAAATAATTAACAGACCCCAGTTGAAGCAACCCTAGTAGTAACATACATAATCACACAAAACTCAAACTATGAAGTATAAACCCAAAAACACGCACGCACATCTTATTCTTAGTATACCACATCTTATTCTTACTATACCACATCTTATCCTTCCTCAATCTCAGACAGTTAGATTAGATCAGACATCCTTCTTCTATGACGACCAAGTGTAACTCTCAAGTTTGGATCAGATGAGGTGATCAACTTGCTTCTCGTCTTGGATGATTCCGATACATTGCATTTCGGGCTTTCTGCAGGAAAAGTATCTGCTGCTTCCTGGGCGTATCGTGATTTTCTGTTTGCGTTTTGTAAGATTGCTTTGATTTGAGGATCTGAGTAACTCATTGATTGTGAGGCTGTGAATTGGATTGAACTTCTGGCCACAGACCTCAAACTTCTTGCCTTACCAACAACTTCTCTTTCTGCAGCACTTTGCCTTTGTCGACTAGCTGCAGTGGAAGTCATGAACCGAGGCAATGAATTTGAAACATTGCCTTTACTTGTTTTCTCAGGCTTTCGTGGTGTTTCTACAGCTTCCTTCAGATATTCTTTGGGACTAATGGGGGCCTTCTCATCTTCTAAAGGTCCATAAGTGGTTGAGAAGAGCTTTCTGTTTTCGCGGAACAGCAAATCGACCTTTTGTATCTGGTTTTTAAGTTTATGGCATTCTTCTTCAGCTTCTCTCATGTTTTCTTCAAGTTCCTTGACCCTTTTCTCCCTGTGCCTCTTCAAGTCCTAAAACAATGCAAACGGTTACGAAGATTCACAGCTAAGGGAACCAAACAATTACCAAGAAACTACAGACAAGTACCTCTGATAATTCCCTATTACACTCTATAGCTCTAGCTCTCTTAGCGAAGCTCAAAGAACATATCGTCTCCCCAACATCTTCTTCACATGGGCTGACATGCACAAGCATCAAAACCTTCGAACCAGCACCTAAAGCATTTGCATTACCAAATAAATATTAAGCACTGTCAAGTCCAAATGGTGAAGAGGGTGTGAAAATCATGCGAATATGAGATCATTCTGCCCTGCTCGCGATAGCAATTGAAGGCACAAACTTAATGATTTGTGGTGGAGTCATTACCGTATATTACAAATGTAGTATAAGCTCATTTATACAGATTTTAAAATTAAAATTCTATGTTAATCAAATTAAATAACTTTGAATTGTCTGTATGTGTAAAGAAACTCAGTTCCATAACCAAATTTAAAGAATGTGGTAATCTACCTAAGGAATCTTTCAGGATTTGTGTAAGCTTGCTGTTCCTGCAACCAAAATTTTAAAGTCCATCAGATTCTAGCTGAATCAGCACGCAAAGAGAAACACCTCAAAAG